AGACACATGTAACCAGCACAATATACTTTGTTAGGCCCGAAACCTAAAATTTCAGACGATGGAGACTGTAGACTGACGCAGAGCAGCCTTTTGAGGGCTTGGCACTGGAATGCACTCTGGAGGGGCCTCTGTCGACACGTACAGTAAGTGCAGACAGAAAGAACAGAGTCAGCCTGTAAGGGTATAGGACGATCACCCCCCCCCCCCCCCCCCCCCCCGTAGGTCAGGGATCCACTGCAGGGCGAGGGGTCTCTGGCGCCAACTGTAATGGTGTAGGATCAGTGAGGCCTGAGTTACGCACGTTAACCAGTCAGCCAAACAGAGATCTCCCTTGTCCAAGTAGCCAGGGAGCATGATCAATCGGGTAACAGTGACAGAACGCTCACATTGTCAGTGTGTGTGTGTGTGTTCATAATTTTATCCTTCTCAGCAGATGCACTGCAGGTGCTCTCCATGTTCAAAATGGGCGTAAGCCAGGTCCTTAGTCAACTTAATATCTCGCACATTGTTCCATTACGTTTTCTTTTATAAATGCCAAAGTTTGCGTGGAAAGTTGCTTACGCAGTTTTCTGACCCGTTTTGTGCGTAAGCAAGCTTGATAAATGAGGTCCCTGACTTGTATTGGAATGTTTACTGTGTGAAGATCCTTGAGACGACTCTCATCATGATTTGGTGATTTAAAAATAAACTGAATTGAATTGAAAAGTTAGGGACCCCTCAAGGGTCAGAGAGATGTGAGGTTTCTGTTTGGGACCTTTACTTTTACAATTGGTAAAATCATTAAACAACATGGGATAAACTTCCGCTGTTATGCTAATGACACTCAGTTAAATCTATCCATTACCCTGATGAACCTAATCAGTTAGTTAGATTACAGGCTTGTCTTGAAGACATAAAAAATTGGATGACTCAAAACTTTCTGCTTTTAAATAAAGACAAGGCTGAAATTCTCATCTTTGGACCTGAAATGCAGAAAAGGAAATTGCTTACATCTTTGGTACGTTTTTGCTGTGTCTGATTTCTAATTCCATTTTTGGTTCTTTTTTTTAAAACTCAGAAAAGGTTTCTTTTTACCCTACTTGCTAACATCAGCGTCAGCTCTGAGGAAGTTTGCAGCCGTGAACGAAACTGTCAGTAAGCAAGGTAAAAAGAAACCTTTTCTGTGTTTTAAAAAAGAACCAAAAATCGAATTAGGAAATTGCTTAGTCAATCACCTGACCTGAATGAACCATCCAGGACCTGAATGACATTAAATTAATCTCCCAAGGTAAGGAACCTTGGTGTTATCTTCGACCAGGACATGTCATTCAAATCCCACGTTAAACAGGTTTGTAGGATTTCCTTTCTCCACCTCCGGAATATTGCTACGATTAGAAGCATCCTTTCCAGGAGTGATGCTGAAAAACTAGTTCATGCATTTATTACATCAAGACTGGATTGCTGTAAATCATTACTCTCAGGAAGTCCACAGAATGTAGTTAAAAGTCTTCAGCTGTCCAAAATGCTGCAGCTAGAGTTCTGATGAGAATTAAAAAGAGAGATCATATCTCTACTGTCTTAGCTTCCCGACACTGGCTTCCTGTTAAATTCAGAATAGATTTTAAGAACCGAGCACTTCGCTCTCAGACTACAGGTGTACTGGTGGTTCCCAGAATATCTAAAATTAGGATGGGAGGCAGATCTTTTAGCTATCAGGCTCCTCTCTTGTGGAACCAACTCCCAGCCTTAGTCCGTGAGGCAGACACCTTGTCTACTTTTAAGACTAGGCTTAAAACATTTTTATTTGATAGGGCCTGAGGTTAAAATCTGATGTTAGCCTAAATCTGGACAAGTGGGGAGTAGAGGGAGGTGGAGTCGGTAAAAATGGCTCTCCCTTGCCCTGCCTCCAACATGCCTCCATCTAAAAGGCTAGGTTATCCAGAGTTCTCTCTGTAGTTATGCTGCTATAGGCTTAGACTGCTGGAGGATACACTGACCACTTTCCACACTAGACTACTTTCTTCTACAATCTGCTCTTTAACTGTATTATTTCCTGCTATTTCAGCTGTTAACTTTATTTTTTCTCTAAGTGTTTTTCTCCCCAGAAGAAGCTACAATGATGTTATGCTGAGCTGTGGTAGCCTCATGGAGGGGGCCATTGGCTAGCACACTGTTGCTAACCACTTAAAGGGTCATCAACCCTGCCTCAGAGTCCTTCTCCACCCACATATCAATTTTGAAAATTGCAACATTAGTAGGCATTGCCTGGCGGATCGAGAGGGCGGAGCCGCGGCAGTGATGAAGATGGATGGGTAACGAGACAAAGCTAGCTTTTTTTTACTCTGAGCAGTCATTAGAAGTGGAGGACGTTTCTCCCCCTCCTTACCCAGACACTCGAGAGGAACGGGACCAAGTCTATTTGGAGGAGACAAGCTGACCTGAGCCTTATTGTTTTGAGCTTGTGAGTTGCCTGAAACTACCGGAGCCGACCCAACAGAACCAGCTCTGAATGGAAGTTAGCCGTTAGCCATAGCATCAGATTAGCTGCAGGGTTCGGCTGCACGGCCCTAGAGCTGTTATCAAGCATGTTTTAGAGGTTTATCTGCTTCAACACACCTGGTTTTAATCAGCAGCAAATTGCTGAGCTGCTGAACTGCTAATCTAACATGTTAAAGCAGGAAAACCACTGAAACTTGTTGATAGCAGCTATCTAGGACACAGCCACCTACCCTGGGCTAAAGTTACTGTCTGCTGCAGAGAAAGTTTTAAAAATACCCCATGACAAAATTATTCTGTAATGTGTTCACTTATGTTACACAATCACAAACATCCCACTAAAATTGCCCTGATTTCATTATTTACTGATACCAGCTGTTCTCTTGGTCATAGGTGATCCGTTGGTGATGTCGTCAGGATCAGGAGCTTCCAGAAGAATGTGCCTTTGAATGATTCCTTCCTCCTCTAAAGAGTTATTTGTTATAATAAATCTCAATTTATATTTTACCTGTTTTTGTTCATGTCCATAAATATTTTAAAACGAGCTTTTAACAGTGAGGTGCTAGTTTAATTAATCACAATAGAGCTAGATAAACATGCAACAATGTCAAGTTTCAAGTTTAATTATATAGCGCCAAATCACGACAAGAGTCGTCTCAAGGCACTTCACATAATAAACATTCCAATTCAGGTCAGTTCATTAAGCCAATCAGAAATAATTTTTCCTATATAAGGAACCCAGCAAATTGCATCAAGTCACTGACAAGTGTCAGTGACTATACAGCAATCCTCATACTAAGCAAGCATAAAGCGACAGTGGAGAGGAAAACTCCCTTTTAACAGGAAGAAACCTCCAGAGAATCCCTGCTCAGTATAAGCAGCCATCCTCCACGACTCACTGGGGATCGAGAAGACAGAGCAGACACAGACACACACACACACACACACACACACACACACACACACACACACACACAGACAAGTAATGTGTCTATAGTTATATTGTGATGTCTTAGTAAATATTCTATTTGGTGAAAGAAAAACTTTATTGTATTTATCCTAGTGGCTCTATAATTAAACAGATAAACTAGTATTAGCACATCCAACGTCAAGGAAAGCAAAAAGTTATTATCAGGAGAGGGAGAATGTTTTTGTGGTTAGCAGCAGTGTGCTAGTCGATGGCCCCCTCCATGAGGCCACCACAGCTCAGCAGAACATCGTTGTAGCTTCTTCTGGGGAGAAAAACACTTACAGAGAAAATAAAGTTAACAGCTGAAATTGCAGAAAATAGTACAGTTAAAGAGCAGACTGTAGAGGAAAGCAGTAGAGTGTGAAAAGTGGTCAGTGTGTCCTCCAGCAGTCTAAGCCTATAGCAGCATAACTACAGAGATAACTCTGAATAAACTATCCTATTTAGATGGAGGCACGTTGGAGTCAGGGCAAAGGAGAGCCATCTTTACTGACTGTACACTCCACCTCCCTGTACTCCCCCACTTGTCCAGATTTAGGCTAACATCAGATTACCATAGGCCCTATCAAATAAAAATGTTTTGAGCCTATTCTTAAAAGTAGACAAAGTGTCTGCCTCACGGACTAAAGCTGGGAGCTGATTCCACAGGGAGGAGCCTGATAACTAAAAGATCTGCCTCCCATCCTAATTTTAGATATTCTGGGAACCACCAGTAGACCTGCAGTCTGAGAGCGAAGTGCTCGGTTAGGAACATATGGAGCAATCAGATCACTGATGTATGATGGAGCTTGATTATTAAGAGCTTTATATGTGAGAAGAAGGATCTTAAAGGAGACATAACATGCTTTTAAGTTATTCCTTTTTACATCTAAATCCTTCAGTTGGGGTCTAAATACTGTGGAACTGCAGTTCTTTGGTCTGATTTCCTCATTATTGTTGCTCTACAGACCCTCATCTACCCCTGTTCTGAGGAGATTCTTGAGAACGAGCCGTTTTTGGGTACTGTCTCTTTAAACTGGAGGAGGAGCTGTAAACTCCGCCCCCCTCCATAGTGCAGATCTGTACTCTCCTCCCCCAATCGGACTTTGTAGTTCTATAGAGAAATCATTATTTAGCATAGCATATTAGCATTTTTAAAACATGTGGGGAGTTGTTCATCAAGCTGTTTCAAGGCTGCTAACTCTCTCATGCATTTGTCTGTAGTCACACACACACCCGTCATGGCCGACGGAAGGACAAGCGAGCAGGCACGCGCACGCGCGCACACACACACACACACACAAGGAATGCTGCTTGCTTGCTTATTTCTATAAAAAAATGTTTTAAAAAATGATACAGCTCATTAAAACACCATTAAAAGAATATATTTTATTAAGATATATATATATATATATATATATATATATATATATATATATATATATATATATACATATAATTATAAATAATTTTATTAGTAGTCTTATTTTATATTGGGTGTCTTAAGGCTGAAAATGGATAAAAAGCAGTTACATTTTAATTTAAAGATTTGAGATTCTAGTCAAAAATAAAGAACATTCCTCCAAATGTTCTTTAATGTGATCATTATAATTCTAATGCTTACAGCTTTGTTTTTATTGTCTGCAATGCGTAGCCTATATCTTTATTAAATATGTGTTTAGCTGTAAAGTGGTAATTCTCTCTGATGTGTACACAGAGGTGGACATCAGTGCTGCAGTGAAATTCCCAAGATCAGTCTGCTTTGCTAACAATTATAGTTAAATCTTACCTGCATTCTAAATAAATACCGTTAGGTGAAAACATCAGTAGGCATTGAGTTATTGATACAATCCCTAACAGCCAGAATGGAAGAAGAGCCTGCTGGGTCATCCTGGACCTGAGCCTGTTCTGTGTATTTACCTACAGGATGCAATAAATGTCTACAAGGCTGAGTTTGGACCATTACATCTAAAAGAAAATATACAATCAGTGATTTTTTTTATTGTTTACATTAATATACAAATTTTCTAAGTATTAACCTCACAGCAAATAAGTAGAACAATATAATAAACAGGCTTTAGTAGTTAAACAGGCGCTGTGCACACAGGTGCTTTGTGTCTCGGTGCTGGTGGTATCTAGGTCTCAGAGTTCCTGTCCTCCTGCCGTCTTCTGTTGTCCTCAGGATACGGATTGATGTTTCCTGATGATGAGGGAGGGGCAGTATGTGGGCTTCAAACTGGTCCTGGATAACAGTGGGAGACCTCCGTTGTCTGAATACTGAGACCAGAGGTTGTCTGAATACTGAGACCAGAGGGTTGGTGAGATGCAGATCTTCTCTACCTCATCTAGAAACGGAGTTGGTTCAGGGAAAACTTTTCCAAAGACCAGTTCCATGATGTCAACGCCATATTCTGCAATGATAGACAATAACTTTAATGACATATTTTGTTTACAAGTAGCTTTAGGAAAGTTGGTTCTTTAGCTTTCATGTTTATAGTCACGTTTGTGTTTGTTCACAAGTTCACTTTGCTGCAGTGACTTCATATTCTTACAAATGTAATAAAATAGTGACACTAAAATTATACAAATGATTCCTCATGAAAGGAAGCTTGTTAGAGAGCAGCGCAGACAGACTTACTACATGCTGCAGCTGTTTTTGTAGGCCAGCTGCTGCTGAACTTGGGGAAAGTTATTCTGCACACATCCAGATCAGATGGTTGATTACAGAAAATAATGTAATTCAATAATTTCTAAACAGACTAAACAAGTAAAACATCAAATAAATCACTCTGCTGTCATCAGATGGAGTGATTCAGGGGGTGAGGTGTTCCTAATGAGGAGGGTGGCTGAGGTGTGTCATCACTCACTTTGGTCTGGTCCAGACCGTCTCTTTACTGGTGGGTCTCCTTCCTCAGTAGGTGACGTGAAGCTCCAACATCTGAACGTTCTGTGTTCCTTAGAGGAGAAGAAAAGTAACATTAGCAAGCTGGCTAAATTATTTTTACTAGCATTTCAAGGACTTGGAGAAGCAGATCTTCACTTACCTAAACATCAGACCAGTTTGTCCCAGCTGAGCTCATCAGGGCGTTAGTCTGACAGCCTGTCAGTGAAACACGGCTCCAGCCTTCTGGATGTGGACTCTAAAAAGCAAAGGAGCATTTTTACTTTTGTTTTAATTATTTTACAGCCGATTTTATCAGCTTTCCGACGCTCACGCTCATACAGACGGTGAGCTTTGCTGCGTCTGACTGATGCAGTTCCCTTACCAAAAAGAAGTACACCGAAGTATACTTGAAGTATACTAAAAATGAATACAGTATACTTCCAAGTTTACTTTCAATGTACTTATCAGAAGTATAGTTATCCGAGTACATTTTTTAAATACTACTAAGTATACTTTAATACATACTTACATTAAAGTTTACTTACATTTAGACTATACTTGTACTTGACTCTATCAGAAGTATATTTCACCAAGTAATGTATAAGTATACTTAATATATATATATATATATATATATATATATATATATATATATATATATATATATATATACTTATATAATATAATATATATAAGTATATATATATAATATATATATAATATATATACTTATATATATAATATATAAGTATGTATATATATATAATATATAAGTATGTATGTATATATATATATATATATATATATATATACTTATATATATATATATATATATATATATATATATATATATATATATATATACTTATATATATATAATATATATATATATATATATATATATATATTTGGAACTTTTTATTTTTGAATTAGAACAACAACATTTACATGGAGATGCATTTGAATTTCTTCTTCCCTTCTCCAGGGCAGTGTTTCCCTGAACAAAGTTCGAATTTCCTTGTGGCCATGAGATCTATCCAACTTAACCAAATCACCAATCATTACATATAGTTCTGACAAGCTTTCTCTGTATTCATCTTATCTGCTCTCTACTACATTCTACATTTTACTTTGATCTAGCTAAATAACTCACCCAAAAGACAAAAATACATAAATAAAAAAAATTAATAATAATAATTTTCACATGAGAGTACTATCTTTCTAACATTTGTTTTATAGGTTCCCAAATTTTTTCAAATTTCCCTAGTCCCAGTCATAGTCTTGCATTAAATTGTTCCATTTTGTAGACCTGTCTAACTCTGTCTCTCCACTGTGCCACCCTTGGGGGTTCTGTGTCCAGCCATAAAACTGTAATACTCTTCTTGGCAGTCATAAGCAGAATTTTGATTAAGTATGTCTCCATTACGTGTGTAAGATAGCATTCCCAGTACAAACCATTTTAACTTAAATTGTAATTTCACCTTCAAGGTTCTTTCAATTTCTCCCTAACACCTTCCCAGAATGGTATGAATTTAGGGCAGTCCAAAAGTATATGTGAAAAGTCTCCCACTAGCCCGCATTTTCTCCAACATAAATTTGAAACATTACTATTTAGACATGATAAGTGGAGTTTTAAAGTATATATAATATATATACTTATATATATATATATATATATATATATATATATATATATATATATATATATATATATATATATATATAATATAGAAGTATATATTATTCACCTTCCATTCAAATTCCCTCCAAGACAGACTATTAGTTAGTTCATGGCCTGCTTCAAGTGTTTCCTCCCATTCCTCATCTGTTATCATTATGGTCACTTCCAGTTCCCATTTTTCTTTAATATCTGTATTCTTAACAATCAAATCCTGTTGCAAAGCTTTATATATTTTGAAATCAGTCTTTTTTTTTTTTGACATGTCCTTTCTGTTTAACACAATCACTTCCTCCATATTAAGTTTATCCTTTTTTGAATCTTTGCCTTATTTTGAAATAACTAGTCAAGTGAGTATTGAGTGGTACTGGACTTCTGTAAAAATAATTTTCATAGGGATGAAAAAAGTACTCTGTCTGCCTGTCCTAAATAACATATTAAGCATGAAATTACGAATTATTGTGAAATTACACGCACAGGAAGTGCTTTTATTTTGTAGCATTTGCTCAGTCGGCTCTCGAAGCTTCTCAGCAGACCGAGAAGAGCAAAGGTTGGAGGTGCATTAACCGTCGGAGGTCGCGCTTCTGTTCTGCATCTGCACTTGACAGTCACTGGTTCTGCACCACTGAGCTAAATGTAAGTAGCCACCATAAAAGTTGCTTAAATGTTTTAAATGTTTTTAAGACGGACATGGTGAATAATGTTGGCCACGTAGCAAGCTAATATGCTAAGTCATTGCATGAGTTAGCTGTGTTATTAACTTTGTGTGCGACTAAAGTATTAAATGAAATGAGCAGCGCTATCTCATTATTAAAGGTTAGCATTACTTTAGATACTTTTTTTATTAGACTTCTAGAGACTTATTCCCTCCATTTTTGCCCCCTCCATCGTAATTTTTTAAATGTTCTGAGAAAAAAATAAAAGCGGGAGTTCAGCGCCACCAAGTCAAACTTAAACGTCCACTTATTAAAAGTAAATGAGCAGTGGTCTCTTGTACAGCAATGAAAAAATCAGTCTGTGTTGTAAACTATTTCCCCGTAGCACCCGTGCGATAGCTTTGCAAGCAGCCTGCTTTTTTTTAACCGTAGAAGAGGATTGTGACCGCAAGAGACAAAGCGGTGCTGTATCTCGATGCTGTGTTCCCTCCTTCCCTCCATTTTTGTCCCCTCCATAGTTTTTGTTAAAATGTGATGTTCTGAGGACAAAAAAAAAAAAAAAGGTAAGTTCAGTTAGCTCGCGGGAGTTTGTCAGTTTTTGTGAAAAGTTTTATTTAATACACACATAGACATCGAAATTTTGTTAATGTTTTATCATCAAATTAAATAGTGCTCAGTTGCACATATCTTGAACCGCAGAACGCTGTTTCTATTAATTTCACAGTATTTTAGTGTTGTAATTTTGTCCTTACTGTACGCTGTTACTCCAGATTCTTTTCTTTAAATGTTATGTTTTTAGCTTTGTGTGGATAAGTCAAATTACACTTGAATCTCCTCACATAGCTTCATATATAGTGGAGGACTGCCTAAATTTTGCAGACTAACACAGACCTACCTTGTGATTCACAATGTTTGCTATCTCTGTACTGATTATGCTTCCTGGTGTAGATGTGTAAATTCAGAGCATCTGCGTTCCTATAAGCTGTCAGCCACACCGGGAAGCCTGTCTATGAATCTGCAGTCAGACTTCAATGATCCAACCCCACTCTCTGCACACAAGATTGATGGCATGCTGCTGTTGACCCCCAAGAGGTTCATACAAGTGAGACCACTGGTGAGTAATTCTCACAATCTGCATTTTTGATGGCACATCCTAAATAACATGACTATATATGTATGTATGTATATATGTATACAGATTTGTCTTTTAAAACTGGTGAACATACAATTTACAGGTAATGCCTTTATGCTATGAGTATTAGAGCCACTGATGGAAAAAAAGTATAGAATTCTGAGAAAATAAGTCATAAATCTGAGTTTAATCTCAGAGTTCTGACTGGTACCTAATACAAAAAAAAGGGAAATTGGGGAAGATTATGAGGGGGGATCAGAATTCTGACTTAAATCTTAAAATTCAGGCTTTTTTTTGTTTGTTTGTTTTGATTTTTTTTAAACAAAAAAATTCCTAAATAGTTTTTTGTTTGTTTGGTTTTAGGTTTATGAAAAAAGTCAGAATTTTGACTTTAATCCCAGAATTTTGAAATTATCTGACTTTTTTTTTCTCAATTCTTTTCTTTTTCTTCAGTGACTCTAATTAGGCAATAAGGCAGTATTAGGGCCACTGAAGGAAACAATTGAATACTGAGATAAATGTCAGAATTCTGACTTTATTTATTTTATTTATTTTCAGATTTTTTTCTTCTTCAGTGGCCCTCATACCCCTCCGTATTATGTAATGTTAAACACTTCAAATTAACTTTTGAATTCAGCAGTTTATCATTGGATTTAGATGCAGATATCATTGTCTTGGAAAATTGGTCAGAGCAATTTGGCATTAAGTTTGATTAGTAAACTTGACAGTATTTACACTCTTAATCTTCTTAGGAATTACATGATGTCCACACAAGGCGTACCACTGTTCTCCATGCCCTTCCTGTCTATCTACTTGAGGAAACCTCTGGGTTTTTGAGGACATGTGTGGTAAGTCCCAGTATTGTAAATTTGAACAAATCATTCTATTTATTTATGCATAAAGACAACACAAGGACAAGGCACATGAACATTTTGGAAAATGTGCCATTGTTTCAACTACAAACCTTTGGCAAGATGTTTAAGCCTGCCACACACGAGAGCAATCAGCTGAGCAAACGGCCTCGAATGACTGTTTGCTCAGCAGATTGCTCGCCATGTGCGCCTGATTTTCACTGAGTTTTCTGCCTCACGAGACGCTGAGGTGAATATCTGACCAGTTAGATATTTTCCGCCTCACAGGGGTAAAAACTTGCTGTGTGTGCACTACTGAGCTGCTGGCTGAGCTGAAATATTCTAGTGGCCAATCAAAGCACTTTCTCCGCTCACATGACCCCAAGATGTATTCAGATGCAGCCCCTTGCCCTGTCTGCGTGTCTGAAAAATAAACAAAACGGTACCTTGTGGATCGATGGGCCCACTGTTTCCATTACCCTTTCAGAAGGATTCTGGGTCTTCCGGGTGCATCTCTTGGAGTAAATTGGCATAAACTCCTTGCCTGGTCCATCTTTCCAGCTACTGTACCCATATTTTCCTAACCTTCAAATGCCGGTGGCGGCGACGTTTCATCAACAAAAAAGGATAGGTATTTCCTCCGTTTCCAGCTCTGTCTGTTTTGTTTCTTTTCTGACATGCAGACGGGGCTGCCATCTTGGGGTCATGTGAGCGGAGAACGTGCTTTGGTTGTCCACTAGATTATTTCAGCTCAACCAGTAGCTCGGTAATGCGCACACGGCGAGTTTTTACCCCTGTGAGGCGGAAAATATCTTAACTGGTCAGATATTCACCTCAGCGTCTCGTGAGGCGGAAAACTCTGAAAATCAGGCGCCTATGGCGAGGTATCTGCTGAGCAAGCGGTCATTCGAGGCCGTTTGCTCAGCAGATGGCCCTCATGTGTGGCAGGCTTGAAGGCACTGAGAAAAATCAACAATCACTGCAAAGAATTCAAGTAGCTTTCATTAGCGTAACGCTGGCACACACGGAAGCCATCTCACTTTATTCGTA